GGAGTAGCAAATTGATGCCAAGGATCGATGGGCCATTCACTATCACAAAACGGATCAATGACAATTCTTATCAAATTGATCTCCGAGGTAAGTATAACATAAGTTCAAGCTTTAATGTTTCTGATTTATCTCCTTTTCTTGTAGATGAAACGGATTTGAGGACAAATCCTTTTCAAGAGGGAGGGCATGATATGACTATGGTCGAACAAGACTCGGAACTCGAACCACCGGAGCAGCTCGTAGCCGAGGAGCAACATGTAGCGGAGGAAGCTTTGGCCGACCCAACGGGCCCGATGACTCGTTCGAAGACAAGACTTCTCAACCAAGCCGTTAGCGGACTCCTTAGACACTTGGACCAGCCTACAAGCGAAGTTATCCAAACCACTTTGGTTTCGATAACAGCCCAAGACAATTGGTAATGGGCTAAGTGTTACTTGGGTACTCTTTTTCCCTTCTAAGGTTTTGTCCCAATGGGTTTTCCTTAGTAGGTTTTTAATGAGGCTTGAGTAACACTTCCAAAACCCCATTATCAATTCGGCCCAGCCCATCCTAAAGAAGAAGAAGAATCTCGCAAATTTGAAGGCCAAGGGTCATATTTTATGTTCAATTTTCGTTTTAATGCTTTGCTATTTCCGAGTTGTCTTGGAGCTTGTTCCAAGACTAACTCTTCCTCTTCTCCCTTCTCTATTTAAGTCACTTGTACTTCTTCTTTGAAACTCATCTAATCTTTTATCAAAAACTCTTTCAAGTTAGATCAATTTTCTTGTTCTTCTCTTTGGTGCGTAATATCCAACGACGAGATCAAGATCGGTAAATCAAAGGCCTTCCGCAACCTTTGTGCGACCATTCAATCCACTTCCTTTGCACCGAGTGATCTTCCCATCATTTTGATGCAAAGCCTATCCCTTACTCAACCTCAAGAGTGCCGATCTTAGGATAATTCTATCAGCCGTACGTACGGATGGCCGGGGAAATAGTAATTCCCGAACCAACTTTTGAAAATCATCGTACGGGATGAAGTTTTTTACGATTGAAAGTCTTAAATTACATCAATAAGGAGAAACGTTCGAGAAAAACTCGAGAAAAAATCGATCAGTACGAGGTATCGTCGATCAGTACGTGGCCGTACGTACGGATGGCCGAGGAAATAGTAATTCCCGAACCAACTTTTGAAAATCATCGTACGGGATGAAGTTTTTTACGATCGAAAGTCTTAAATTACATCAAGAAGTAGTATGGTTCGAGAAAAACTCGAGAAAAAATCGATCAGTACGAGGGATCGTCGATCAGTACGTGGCCGTACGTACGGATGGCCGAGGAAATAGTAAGTCCCGAATCAACTTTGGAAAATCATCGTACGGGATGAAGTTTTTTACGATCGAAAGTCTTATAATACATCAATAAGAAGTAACGTTCGAGAAAAACTCGAGAAAAAATCGATCAGTCCGAGGGATCGTATACCAGTAGGTGGCCGTACGTACGGATGGCCGTACGTACGGATGGCCGGGGAAATAGTAATTCCCGAACCAACTTTTGAAAATCATCGTACGGGATGAAGTTTTTTACGATTGAAATTCTTAAATTACATCAATAAGGAGTAACGTTTGAGAAAAACTCGAGAAACAATCGATCAGTACGAGGGATCGTCGATCAGTACGTGGCCGTACGTACGGATGGCCGAGGAAATAGTAAGTCCCTAATCAACTTTTGAAAAGCATCGTACGGGATGAAGTTTTTTGCGATCGAAAATTTTAAAATACATCAATAAGGAGTAACGTTCGAGAAAAACTCGAGAAAAAATCGATCATTCCGAGGGATCGTCGATCAGTACGTGGCCGTACGTACGGATGGCCGAGGAAATAGTAATTCCCGAACTAACTTTTGAAAATCATCGTACGGGATGAAGTTTTTTACGATCGAAAGTCTTAAAATACATCAATAAGGAGTAACGTTCGAGAAAAACTCGAGACAAAATCGATCATTCCGAGGGATCGTCGATCAGTACGTGGCCGTACGTACGGATGGCCAAGGAAATAGTAAGTCCCGAATCAACTTTTGAAAATCATCGTACGGGATGAAGTTTTTTACGATCGAAAGTCTTAAAATACATCAATAAGGAGAAACGTTTGAGAAAAACTCGAGAAAAAATCGATCAGTACGAGGGATCGTCGATCAGTACGTGGCCGTTCGTACGGATGGCCGAGGAAATAGTAATTTTCGAACCAACTTTTGAAAATCATCGTACGGGATGAAGTTTTTTACGATCGAAAGTTTTAAAATACATCAATAAGGAGTAACATTCGAGAAAAACTCGAGAAAAAATCGATCATTCCGAGGGATCGTCGATCAGTACGTGGCCGTACGTACGGATGGCCGAGGAAATAGTAATTCCCGAACCAACTTTTGAAAATCATCGTACGGGATGAAGTTTTTTACGATAGAAAGTCTTAAATTACATCAATAAGGAGTAACGTTCGAGAAAAACTCGAGAAAAAATCGATCATTCCGAGGGATCGTCGATCAGTACGTGGCCGTACGTACGGATGGCCGAGGAAATAGTAATTCCCGAACCAACTTTTGAAAATCATCGGACGGGATGAAGTTTTTTACGATCGAAAGTCTTAAAATACATCAATAAGGAGTAACGTTCGAGAAAAACTCGAGACAAAATCGATCATTCCGAGGGATCGTCGATCAGTACGTGGCCGTACGTACGGATGGCCGAGGAAATAGTAAGTCCCGAATCAACTTTTGAAAATCATCGTACGGGATGAAGTTTTTTACGATCGAAAGTCTTAAAATACATCAATAAGGAGAAACGTTCGAGAAAAACTCGAGAAAAAATCGATCAGTACGAGGGATCGTCGATCAGTACGTGGCCTTATTGATGTATTTTAAGACTTTCGATCGTAAAAGTAAATTTTACTCAAAAAGTAAAAGTCCCGAATCAACTTTTACTCAAAAAGTAATAAACGGCCCCATGGCCAACAAAGCAAATTTCATATCTTAAAATTAAAGGGACAATTGTAACGCCCACGATCCTCAATAGGATCGTCGGATGAGACTTTGTCCGAGAAAAGGAGGAGAAACTCGGACAAGTCTAGATAGGATTTGCCCATCAGCTCGAGAAGGAGAATAATGAACGCTAAGTAGCCAAACCAGCTCCCGTGTAGCTCAACTAAGCTCGAAGTACTTCCGCGTAGTTCAGCTAAGCTCGGGTAACTGTCGAGTAGCTCAGCTAGCTCGACCAGCTGCCGGGTAGCTCAGCTCAGCTCGGGTAACTGTCCGACGTTTGGACGGTTGGGCGGTTACGGAAGGACGGTTGGGCGGTTACGAGGGACGGTTACCAACGAGCGGTTATGGCCGAATGGGCGCCTTCTAGAGAAACGGTTGGGAAACGGTTTTCCAAACGAAACTCTATAAATACAAGGCATTTGGGGCGATTTCGGACACGGAAAAAACTTAGGGAAAAACACAGAAACTCTTGGAGAACATCTTGAGAGAAAACACTTAAGAGAGAGTACGATCGGTGTGACCAAAGGTGAGACGGTTCTAGACTTTGTGTCCGAACCTAAGGAGATATGATACGTACGATCTAGCCTACGGATTGTTCCGATGACTTAGAAGAAGTCCAGAATGATTAGGGTGACATTGTAGTATCGGGGGATCATTCATATCATGCATGAACTTGGTTCGAATGGCGGGTCGGTTGAAATGGGGATGCGGCTCGGCGGAGGATCGGCGGATCTGTTAAGGTCTACCGTGAATCGGCCGAACTGATGCGCATACTTCCACTCTCCGATCTGTTCTTCGTTCCGGGCGGTTTAAAGGCTTAGAGAGCATTGCATGGACTTGCATATAATAAGTAAAACGGATACTTATGCCTCTTTGACTTTCAGGAAAGGATGGTGATCAAGGGAAGGACTTGGCTTAGGCGTGAGAGGCTCAAGGCCGGGAAGATGGGTGGTGATGAATCGGGTAGAATAGGATCGATTAAATGTCTTGTAATAGCTTATATGCAAACTCATAAGTTGTATCGAATCCTTTTAATTATCTAATAAAGTATCCGATTATTTGTTTACTCTAATATCGCATATTGACTCTAAGTAACGAATCTCAGAATATCATAAAACGGATTGTCTTAAGGAAATGGCCCTAAAATTTGACTAAGGGTCGGATCACTTAGTGATTTGATCGGAGAGAACCTCTCCGGACTTAGGCAGTCCGGATCGGGGTCTTTCAAGTTTTTATCAGAGCATGCTTGTTTCTAGGACCGTTAGTGCAGGGTATTGAGAATCACCACTCATCGGCTTATGGGTCCTCACGGTAGTTGGTTTCTTACTCTCTTGCGATTTACTATGAGTTACCGTAACTAACTTTGAAGTTTTTCGCAGATGGGTAAGAGCAACAAAACGGGAAAGAGTAAGAAGGATAAGGGTAAGGACGTCGTAGAGGAGACGTTTGTTGCCGAGGAGACACAAGTTACCAAGGGAACAAGTTTCGAAGCAACGGTTGATGGGACAAATCCGGCCGGACCTGTCACTACAAGAATAATAGGTTTTTATAGCAGTATAACATAACGTTTGTGTGCTAAATGCTATGATTATGAAACCACTTTATTTAAGATAGCGTTTGTGTATTTTTAAACGTTATGGTATATTGTAATATTAAAAAATTTGGTCACGTTTTTTCTAAAACGCTTATTAATAGCAGACCCCTAATTTTAAACGTTATGATATGATTAGGCGGTAAAAATTAAGAACCCGCGATACTTAGAAATTTTTGGCTCTTCAGATCAAAAGAACAAAAATCCCCAAATTTCTTGACCTAAAATTTCTCCCTCTCGATTTTGGCTCGATTTTCGCCAAACAATTCATCAATCAGACTCGAGCCTCACAAATCTCAGTCACATGCCCTAAAATCTTCTCGTCTCCCACACAAATCTTCTCGTCGTCTCCCACTGTGAAAGCTCAATCGTCTCCCAGAGAAATCGCGTATCGATCTGAAATTCTTCTCGTCTCCAGCTTCAATCTCGTGTCTGTAACCAAATACACTTCAATCCAGCTTCCTCTTTCGCTTGTGGTGGTGTCTCGCTCGATTTACACAAATCTCGACTCGGTAACATACTTCAAATCCAGCTTCCTCTTTCGCCTCTTTTGGTGTTCTTGCCCGATTTGTACCAGGTATCTCACTTGTTCTCTATTGTTGTTGACGATATCAGATCTCGTCATTCTGTTGTTGTGGCTTAACTGGAATTGTTCTGTTGTTGATTGTGTATACACCTTTTGTCGGAGCTGTTGTTCCGATGGATAAAGCTTGGGTTTGGTTACCAAGGTAATCTCTGTCCCTCGATTTTTTTTTTACTATACTTCTTTGATTTCCTTGTGATAAAGCTTGAGTCTGAGATTTCTTTTTTGATTTCTTTGATTGCTAACAGGAATAGCCTTGAGTACGAGGAAGGAGCAACTAAGTTTGTGCTTGATGCAGCAAGTTGTTTGGGTAATGTATTAGCTATGTTCTGTCCTTGCGTTGATTGCCGGAATGTGGTTCATCAGTCAAATGAGACAGTGTTGGAGCATCTAGTGATTAGAGGGATGGATCTTAAGTACAAGAGAAGCAAATGTTGGAGTAAACACGGGGAGATAAGTGATAAGACAACAGATGTTCATGCGTCTGAAAATGAGGCTTATGACTTGTTTAGGACAGCTTTTATGGAAAGCGAGGGCAAGCAATCATCTCAGCAGAATAATGTAGAAGAGTCTGAAACAGTAGAGAGTAAAGAAGAAGGGGAGTTTAGGAAGAAGTTAGAGGATGCAGAAACTCCATTGTACTCTACATGTATGAACTACACAAAGGTTTCTGCAATCATGGGACTGTACAGGATAAAGGTCAAGAGTGGTATGTTAGAGAACTTTTTTGATCAGCTTCTGACACTAGTGCATGATATGCTACCTGGAGACAATGTGCTGCCTAAGTCTACAGATGAGATGAAGAAGTTTCTGAAGATTTTTGGTTTTGGTTATGATTCTATTCATGCTTGCAGAAATGATTGTATCCTTTATCGGAATCAATATGAGGAGTTGGTGAGCTGCTCAAGATGTAGTGAATCAAGATGGGAAAAGGACAAGCATACATGTGAGGAGAAGAAAGGTATTCCAGCAAAGGTGCTAAGGTATTTTCTGATAAAAGACAAATTTAGGAGGATGTTTAGATCAAAAAGGTTGGCTGAGGACTTGTGTTGGCACTCCACTAATGCTAGTCAAGATGGTACAATGCGGCATCCAGTAGACTCTTTGACATGGGTTCAAGTAAATGATAAATGGCCAGAGTTTGCAGCAGAGGCAAGAAACCTTAGGGTAGGTCTTTCTACTGATGGGATGAATCCTTTCTCCATCCAAAACACCAAGTACAACACATGGCCAGTGCTGCTAGTCAATTACAATATGGCTCCAACTGAGTGTATGAAAGCTGAGAACATAATGTTGACAATGTTGATACTTGGACCAACCGCACAAAGCAACAACATTGATGTATATCTATAGCCTCTGATAGATGACCTAAAAGACTTGTGGAATGAAGGTATGGTAGTTTATGACTCATTTAAGAAGGAGAGTTTCACTCTAAGAGCTATGCTTCTATGGAGTATTACTGACTATCCAGCATTAGGTACATTAGCAGGATGTAAGGTGAAGGGGAAGCAAGCTTGTAATGTTTGTGGGAAGGATACACCTCACAGATGGTTAAAGTTCAGTCGCAAGCATGTTTATATGGGAAACAGAAGGCGTTTGAGGCCTGATCATCCTTACAGGCGTAGGAAAGTGTGGTTTGACAATACAGTTGAGCTTGGTACTGCTAACAGGATTCAAAGTGGAGCAGAAATCTATGAGTGCCTTAGAGATTTTAGGAATGAATTTGGTAGACCTTTAGAAAAGAAAGGCAAGAGAAAGAGGATGGAAGCAGATGATGATGATGATGATGTGATTGCAGCTGAAGAGTATGAAGAAGATGATGATCAATGGCGGTGGAAAAAAATGTCAATCTTCTTTCAGTTGGCTTACTGGAAGGTTAGAATAATCATTACTATCATCAGTTTTAATTTAAACTAATCTTTATTATCTCTTAATGAGTGTCTAACAATAACTTGTAATAATTTTTTGTAGGATTTGCCTGTAAGGCATAATATTGATGTAATGCACGTGGAAAAAAATGTTTCTGATGCACTGCTATCAATTCAGATGCATAATGGGAAATCCAAGGATGGTTTAAAAGCAAGAAAAGACTTAGAGGACATTGGATGTATCCATTTGAGAGGTAATGTTAATGGTCTTACTATAGTTATACAATAAACTATTTGGCTGATTTCTCTTATAGTTACTCATAGTAATTATTGTTATTGCCATTAGGTACATGAAGACACTTAAGGCATATGTGAAGAATTTTGCAAGGCCAGAAGCTTGTATGGCTGAGGGCTACTTGGCTGGTGAATGCATTGCATTCTGTTTGGAGTTCCTCCATAAATCTGTTCCAGTACAAGAAACTCTTAATCGTAATGAAGATCTTGAAGCAGATCAACAAATTCTTGAAGGCAGACCACTACATAAAGCTACAGAAAAGACTCTTACAGATAAAGAACGAGACATAGCTCATCGGTATATTCTCATGAATACAGCAGTCATGGAACCATACATTGAGTAAGTGCAAAGCTAATACAGATTTATGTTTAAAAGCTTGATGATTAAAGTGTAACAAAGAATAACTTTATTGAAAACAGGTTGCATTTGGAAGAACTGCAAGCTACAGATGTAAGATGTGCAAAAAATGAAACACTCTTGTGGAAATATCACACAGAAAGGTTCCCACAATGGATCAAAGATAAGGTTAGAAGAATGTCAATTGTGTAGTGTTTTTTAATTTCATGTCATTGACATTATGTTTCTCTGTTTCATGTTAGATACCAAGTAACTCAAAAGATCATTCTAGTAGACTGAGATGGCTTGCATTTGGACCAAGACATATTGCTCAAACTTACAAGGGGTATATAATTAATGGTCAGCGGTTCCACACTGATGATGTCAAGAGGAAAACCCAGAATAGTGGAGTAACTTATGAAGCATTTTCTATGTGTAGATCAAGTGCTAAAGATACTAGACAAATGGCAGATATAGTATCATTCTATGGAGTGATAAAGGAGATCTTGATGCTGGACTACCACAAGTTCCAGATTCCAGTTTTTAGGTGTATTTGGGCTAACAAAGGGAATGGAGTGAAAGAGGAGGATAGTTTCACACTTGTCAATCTCCATATGAACCAGTCAGCATACTTAAATGATCCTTTCATTTTGGCATCGCAGGCTAAGCAAGTTTTTTACTCTAGAGAAGATGACAGCTCACCTTGGTATGTTTGTATGAGGGCGCCACCAAGAGGGTACCATGAGCTAGAAACAGTAGAGGAGTTTGTTTCTGGACCATTATCAGTTCAGCCAATTAAAGATTTAGGAGATTAATCATCTGACGACGAGAGTTTTTGTGTTAGGTCTGATTGTGAAGGTGTTATAGTAGAGGAATAATTAAAACTTTATTTTTGTTTCAGGTAATCAAAAACAATGAACCAAGTTACTGCAATCCGTCGAAGTAAGCGCCAGGCAGGCCTTGATGTCACTCCTGTAGTGTCATTGAAGAAGAAGAGAAACAAGAAGTCTATCATTGAAGAGAATGAAAGAGACAATGTAGAAGAGAGAATAGAAGTGGCTACTGAAGGAGATGATGGTGTAGAGGAAGAAGATATTAATGGAGAAGAAGATATTGAAGAACAAGAGAATGGAGCAGAAGATAATGAAGAACAAGATAATGGTCAGTCTCAAGAGAATGAAAGAGAGAATGAAGTGGAAGATCCAATCCCTCCTTCCACAGCAGGTGCCTCTGAAACCCAGACAAACCAGTCAGACAACAAAAAGAGGAAGTCAAGAGGTCCAACTAGAATGCGTAAAGTGGCAAAGAATCTTGAGGATAAGGTAGAAGTGGAGTTTAATGCTCTTGGTGAGCATGTTGGTAAGGGATCAGTGACACTCTCCTCTTTCCTTGGTCCTCTAGCAAGAGAGCATGTGCCTGTACTGCTAGATGACTGGAGACAGCTTGATCAAAGGACAAAAGACGTTATGTGGGAAGAAATTCAGGTTATTTTTCACATTTGCTTGAATAAAAGTTATATGAGAGTGTTGTTTGTGTCTTAACTTGGCAATGTTTGACAGGGGAGGTTCAATTTAAAAGAGGATTGGCAGAAAGAAGCAGTATTTAAGCAAATGGGTGGTCTGTGGAGGGCTGCCAAATCCAAGCTTGTTACCAAAGTGAGATCTACTAAAAGCAAAGTTGCTCTACAGCAACTGAAGCCTAGCAACGTCCAATGTACATCAGCCTGGAACAGTTGGGTTAAGAACAAATGCACAGCAGCTTTTAAGGTTATTGTGATAACTCCTTTGATTAATTTCTTTAAAATAGTTATACTCATCTGACTCTTTTTGTCTATAGGAACGAAGTGAGAAATACAGGCAACTGAGGAAGGGTCAAATTCCTCATACTACAAGCCGCAAAGGAATGACTCGCTTAGCTGATGAGATGGTATGTATTTTGTTTTGCATTGGGTACTTTTATTAGTAATTTACTCATGAGATGGTATATGTGCATGAACTTGTAGAAAAAAAACAGTTCTGATCCTAGAAAAGTTACTAGAAGTAAGGTGTGGATAGCAGGACATACACATTCTGATGGGAGACCTGTGAGGGAAGAGTTTGCAGAAACTATTGTAAGTAGCACTTAAAATCTTTTTCAATTGTTATTCAGGTTAATTTAAAGATTGTTTCTACATATTGTGATATAAAATTTGATGTCAGGAAATGATCAAGACCATTGATAGTGAAATGGACTCCACCACATCCACGGATAATGTTAGGGAAGATGCTGTGAGTCAGGTACTAGGAAAAGACAGACCTGGAAGAGTTAGGGGGATGGGCAGAGGAGCAACTGTTACTAAGTTAGCATTCTTACAGACAAGAGACTCTCATGTCAAGAATCTTGAAGCTTCTCAAGCAGAATTGAAAAGTAAGCTTGAAAGTTTGCAGAATCTGGTTAGTAACTTAGCTAAGTTAGCTAGTAAAAGGTAAACCTTTTGGCACTCATTGTTTCACAATGCCAACTTATATAAGTTTTGGTTAATTAAGTGTTTTTTTGGTCATTGCAGAGACAGACTGATGATGTTTCCATGTCTGACTTAAGCAATGTTAGCAAAGAAGGAGTTAGGTGCCAGCTTCTTGATTGGTGTTCAAATGTTGAGGTGGTTGTTGGTGAAGGAGAATTCTGCTCCAGTGAACACACATATAAGATTGGTAGAATACCATTGGGTCGCAATGCAGCTGCTGTACTTGTGAAGTCCACAACAGTTATACATGCATCTGTCTGGAGACCTACTCCAACCATTTTCACACTTAATGAAGCTGTTGGACATAAAATTGCATGGCCACTTGACAAGATTATATTGGATGAGGATATTAACTTGTCCCAACCTACTAAGTCTGTCGAATCAGAGCAGGTAAATTACAACTACTATTGAGTTCCTCTTAAATTCATATTGGTTAGATTACTAATATAGATATATGTTTGCATGATTCATTAGCCAACAGATGAATCACTAGGAAGAATTAAAATCTTTCAGTATTGGAGTGGAGATGATGATTTGATTGCTGAGGGTATGTTGTTGTCAACTGACCATAATGAATTGGTGGATGGTAGACCTCTGGGACATGGTGCTGCAGTTGTTAAGGTCCTGGAGGTGGTTAAATCTGAGGCTTATCTGTGGAGACCAAATCCTCCAATCTCATTGATGAGTGATGCACTAAATGAGACCATCGCATGGCCTATTGATAGAATACAACTCCTTGATGTACCTGCAAATGATGAATCAACCAGAAAATCACCTAAAGTAAGTTTCTCTGCAACTAGTTTTTAATTTAAATGGTATGAATACTTAAACTTGGAAATCTTAGGGTAGTCACATGTTGTATTGGATTGTGTTGATGTTGCTGTGATGTTAGTCTGATGTAATTCTTTTTATAATGTTTGATTTTAGAGTGCAACTACTCCCAGTTCTACTACTCCCAGCACTGCTACTAGCAAAGGTGCTAAGCAGAAGTGTTTTCTATTAGATATTGATAACACTGGGCAGAGAGTTGCAATAGGTCGGGTGTCTTCAACTGATCCAGCAGAGAAGGTCCATCACGTCCCTTTAGGTGCCAACGCTAGCAAGGTCTGGGTAGAGGTTTCCAAGGTTGAGGGTGCACGAGTGTGGAGAGCAAATTCTGAAGTTAAAGTCATTGCTGATGCAGTAGGAACCACTGTGGCTTGGCCTAATGACAAGATTATATTCATGTGATTTGAGTTTTAGTACTTTTGAACTAAGTGTTTAAAAATGTAAAACTTATGTTTGACTCTTTTGGAACAAATAATTAATGAAGTATTTAATGAAATAAACCCAGATTTTAATATTTTTATATCGATTCAAATTATATAAAACAGAAATATAAAAAAATTAATATAATGCTATTATAAATTAATAATTAACATAACATTGCCTAAAACGTTGTTAATAATATTATTCATAACAACATAACTACGCTATTATATAATATTTAATTGCATTTACAAAAGCGCTATTGTATATAACAGTTACATAGCATTACGAAAAAGCGCTATCTAAAGTGTCTGACCTATGACGGGCGTAGAAATAGCGCTTGTCAAAACGCTATAGTATCGTTAGATAGCGTTATTCGGGTGCTACGAAAAGCCCTTTTTCTTGTAGTGTGTGGCTGGACAAAAGTCTCCGGTTCATCAAACTCCGGAAATAGTTGTGCAACGGACGGAAAGGAGAATCTAAACGCACTTCCATCGGCCCAAGAACAATGGGATACGATGAAGGCCATGATGGCACAAATGGCCGCATTGACTAAGGCACTCGTACCGGATCCTGTGGTACAAGTGAAAGAGAACAAAACGGACGCGGATGCGGACGTAGATGTGGAGATTGTTGAAGTCAATCTGCCTATGGACTCTTCAAGGAAGAGGGGAGACTACTTGAGTTTACTCGCGCACATCTCGAAGTTGGGAACAAAGCACTTCACGGGGAGTTCCGATCCGATCGTGGCGGATGAGTGGAGGACTCGGCTCAAAAGAAACTTTAACTCCACTCGGTGCCCGGAGGATTATCGGAAGGACATTGCGATTCACTTCTTGGAAGGGGATGCGCATAATTGGTGGCTCACCGTGGAGAAACGCATGGGTGATCAAATCCAAACCTTTGCTAACTTTGAGGAGGAGTTTAACAAGAAGTTTTTCCCTCCGGAAGCATGGGACCGGCTTAAGTGTGCCTACTTGGATTTGATACAAGGTAACCGAACGGTGCGAGAATACGATGAAGAGTTCAATCGCCTTAGGCGATACGTGGGAAGAGAGCTCGAGGATGAGCAGTCTCAAGTGCGCCGTTTCATCCGTGGGTTAAGGGTGGAAATCCGTAACCATTGCTTAATCCGTACCTTTAGTTCGGTCTCCGAATTGGTGGAAAGGGCGGCTATGATCGAAATCGGAATTGAGGAAGAAAAACTCATGAATCGTGAGAAGTTTCCGAATCGTTCTAACCAACCAAGCAAGTTCGCGGATAAGAAGAGGAAATGGGACAAGGTGGATGACACCAAGTCGGGTGCTAAGCGTGGAGAATGCTTGACTTGTGGGAAGAATCATGGTGGGATTTGCTGGAAGGCCATTAGTGCATGTGGCCGGTGTAGAAGTAAGGACCACGTGATCCAAAACTGTCCAAGGATGGATTCGGGGCAACCTAAAGTTATCGGTGAAGAACCAAGGGCTTGTTACCATTGTGGGAAAGCGGGGCACTTTAAGAGGGAGTGTCCGAAGCTGAAAGTGGAAAAGCAAGCCGCACAAAGGGCAAACCGGAGCGAAAGTGGACTACCGCCTCCGCCTAAGAGGCAGGCTATAGCACCGCGAGTTTACGAACTGTCGGAGGATGCTAGCAATGCCGAGAACTTTAGGGCGATCACTGGTAAGTCTTTGTGATCTTGTTTTAATTCGTACATTGCATCGCATCATGCATAAACGGATTGGGGTACTCAGCATTCTAGGGGAATGTGTAGGGACCTTGTGTATAGGTGATGTAGAAACACACACCTTATTTGATTCCGGAGCTACACATTGTTTTGTGAGTTCCGAGATGGTTGAGAAAGGTGGGTTCAAGAAAGAACCAAACACCAAATATGGAATGGTTAGAGCAGCCGGCGGACAAGTAATGTATCCGTCCGGTGTTGTTCGGGAAATCTCGGTTGTAGTCAACGGTGTCAATATGCCAACGGACCTAATCGTACTCCAAGTCAAGAAACACGATGTTATTTAGGGTATGGACTGGTTGGGAAAGTATAAGGCACACATAGATTGTCACCGAGGACGGATTCAATTCGAGAGGGAGGAAGGAATGTTGAAATTCCAAGGAATAAGGACAACTTCGGGAAGTTTAGTAATCTCGGCAATTCAAGCGGAAAGGATGCTTGAGAAAGGGTGTGAGGCATACATAGCCACGATCACAACCCACAAAGTTGGGGCAAATACGGAATTAAAAGACATTCCGATCGCAAACGAGTTCTCGGATGTGTTTGAGGCCGTGAGTGGTTTACCACCAGACCGGTCCGATCCATTCACGATTGAACTCGAAGCGGGAACAACTCCGATATCTAAAGCTCCGTACCGGATGGCACCAGCGGAAATGGCGGAGCTAAAGAAACAATTAGAGGAGTTGTTGGATAAAGGATTTATTAGACCAAGTAGTTCACCATGGGGTGCACCGGTCTTGTTTGTAAAGAAAAAGGATGGTAGCTTTAGGCTATGCATTGACTATCGGGGATTGAATAAAGTTACGGTAAAGAACAAATATCCATTACCCCGGATAGACGAGTTGTTGGATCAACTTGGAGGCGCAAAGTGGTTCTCAAAGATAGACTTGGCCTCGGGATATCACCAAATTCCGATAGAACCAGCGGATATTCGGAAGACGGCCTTCCGGACGAGATATGGCCACTATGAGTTCGTAGTGATGCCATTCGGACTAACCAATGCACCGGCAGCCTTTATGAAGATGATGAATAGTGTTTTTCGAGAATTTTTAGATGAGTTTGTGATTATCTTAATTGATGACATACTTGTCTATTCTAAGGATTGGAAAACTCATCAAAATCATCTAAGGGTGGTGCTAGAACGACTAAGGGAACAGAAGTTATTTGCGAAGTTAAGCAAATGCTCGTTTTGGCAAAGGAGTATCGGATTCCTCGGACACATAGTGTCGGAACAAGGAGTGTCCGTAGATCCGGAGAAAATCAAATCCATTAAGGATTGGCCACGACCAAAGAATGCCACCGAGATTAGAAGTTTCCTTGGGTTGGCGGGATATTACCGAAGGTTTGTAAAAGGCTTTGCGAGTATGTCCCAACCGATGACTCAACTAACCGGAAAGGATACTAAGTTCCAATGGTCGGAGGAATGTGAGAAGATTTTCTCCGAGTTAAAGGCGTTGTTAACAAGCGCTCCGGTATTGGTGTTACCGGAGGAAGGTGAACCTTACATAGTCTATACGGATGCATCAATCACGGGACTAGGATGCGTACTGATGCAAAAGGGTAGTGTAATCGCTTATGCTTCAAGGCAATTGCGGAAACACGAGGGAAATTACCCTACGCATGACTTATAAATGGCCGCGGTGGTGTTTGCCTTGAAGATTTGGCGATCGTATCTTTATGGAGCCAAAGTCCAAATCTTCACGGACCACAAAAGTCTTAAGTACATATTCACTCAGCCGGAGTTGAATCTAAGGCAAAGAAAGTGGATGGAATTTGTGGCGGATTACGACTTAGATATTGCTTATCACCCGGGAAAGGCAAATCAAGTCGCCGATGCCTTGAGTAGGAGGCGTTTTGATGGGAACATTGCATTTAAATGCAATATCCAAGGATTTCGAACCATTGGGTTTAGGTGCGGCCGATCAAGCCGATCTACTTAGTAGAATTCGCTTGGCCCAAGAGAAAGACGAGGAGTTGAATACTTGGGCGAAGAATAATAAAACGGAGTACCAAACATCGAACAATGGTACCATAGTGGTGAACGGTCGAGTATATGTGCCGAATGACAAGGGTTGGAAGGGAGAAATCCTTAAAGAAGCGCACCAATCAAAGTTCTCGATTCACCCCGGGTCCAATAAGATGTACCGAGACCTAAAAAGGTATTACCATTGGGTCGGGATGAAGAAGGATGTAGCCGCATGGGTTGCTAAGTGTTCGACGTGCCAACTTGTTAAGGCGGAACATCAAGTTCCAAGTGGGTTAATACAAAGCTTACCTATGCCCGAATGGAAATGGGACCATGTAACGATGGACTTTGTTACCGGGTTGCCTACGGGGATAAAGTCTAAGCATAATGCGGTTTGGGTGGTTGTGGACAGATTGACTAAGTCCGCACACTTCATAGCAATTTTCGAAACGGATGAAGCCGAAGATATAGCCGCAAGGTATATCGACGAGATAGTAAGATTACATGGAGTGCCGGTAAGCATTGTATCGGATCGGGATACAAGGTTCACATCGCAATTCTGGAAGGTTTTTCAAAAAGCTTTAGGAATGAGGGTGAACCTAAGTACGGCGTACCACCCGCAAACGGATGGGCAATCCGAACGGACGATTCAAACCCTTGAGGACATGTTGCGTGCATGTGTCTTGGATTGGGGTGGGAATCGGGAGAAGTACTTAAGGTTGGTGGAGTTTGCCTATAACAATAGCTATCAAGCTAGTATTGGCATGTCACCTTACGAAGCGTTGTACGGACGAGCATGTCGAACACCGCTATGTTGAACACCGGTGGGCGAACGCATGTTGTTCGGTCCGAAGATTATGGATGAAACAACCGAAAAGATGAAGTTCCTTAAGATCAAACTAAAGGAGGCCCAAAACTGACAGAAAAGCTATGCGGATAAGCGTCGTAAGGAGTTAGAATTCCAAGTAGGAGACTTGGTGTATCTTAAGGCCGTAACGTATAAGGGCAAAGGACGATTTTCAACAAGGAAAAAGTTGAGTCCAAGGTACGTTGGCCCATACAAGGTGATCGAACGAGTAGGGGCTGTGGCATACAAACTTAAACTTCCGCCGAAGTTAGATGCGTTTCACAAGGTTTTCCACGTTTCACAACTAAGGAAATGCCTAAGTGAACACGAGGAGCGAGTAGAAGATGTTCCTTCGGAGTTAAAAGAGAACTTAACGGTGGAAGCAAATCCAATTCGGATCGTTGATCGAATGGAAAAGGGGACAAGGCGGAAAAAGATTAGCATGATAAAAGTGTTATGGGATTGTGGAGGCCGCGAAGAAACTACTTGGGAAACCGAAAATAAAATGAAGGCTGATTTTCCTAAGTGCTTTAAAGAGATGGGT